AGCTCTGGCGTGGGCTGGTCCATGAGGTCACGAAGAGTCGGAGACGACTGAACGAATGAACAACAACAGACCATGATATTTGGGAGTTGTAGTTTCTGGGAATGATAGTTCACCTACAAAGAGCATTCTGAACCCCACAAACAATAGAATTGGGCCAAACTTCCTAATGGTGTAATTTGGTGAAAGTAGACCATGATATTTGGGAGTTGTGGTTTCTGGGATTTATAGTTCACCTACAATCAAAGAGCATTCTGAACCCCACAAATAATAGAATTGGACTAAAATTCCTACTGGTGGAGTTTGATGAAAATAGACCATATTTGGGAATTGTAGTTTCTGGGAATGATAGTTCACCTACAATCAAAGATCATTCTGAACCCCACAAACATGATATTTGGGAGTTGTAGTTTCTCGGAATGATAGTTCACCTGCAATCAAAGATCATTTTGAACCCCACAAACAATAGAATTAGGCCAAACTTCCTACTGGTGGAGTTTGATGAAAATTGACCATGATATTTGGGAGTTGTAGTTACTGGGAGTTGTAGTTCACCTACAATCAAAGAGCATTTTGAACCCCACAAACAATAGAATTGGACCAAAATTTCTACTGGTGGAATTTGGTGAAAATAGACCATGATATTTGGGAGTTGTAGGTTCTGGGAATGATAGTTCACCTCGTGACTCCCCCAGGGATCCCGACCCCCAGGTTGAGAAAGACATATTTCACCAACTCTTACGCACACTCCTTGGTCCAGATGGAGGGGAGTCGTTTATTAAATATTTGGCAGATGAGAGAACATGGCTCCTCGTTGGCAGGCTCCTCTGCCGGGCGCATTCCCAACCTGCGCAGGTCTCCCAGGTGCGGAAAGACCTGCCTGGCGCCCCCCTCCCTTCTTGTCCGTGAATGCGCGTGCGAGTGTGCAAGGGCACAAGGTACGCCCAAGGCCCCCTCGACACCACTCTTCGGTCCGTACCAAATGGCAGAGTCCAGGCCTGCGGCTCCGCGGCGGTCAAGTGTCCAGGGGGTGTGGTGGTGGCAGGGCTGGTGGTCACTCCGGGCTCCAAAATGGGCTTGATGTAAGAAGGGATCATACTCTCATTCAGACACACACACACACACATGTGTACAGCCCACTCCTACTCCAGGTGACACTCCTGCCATGCCTTTCCACTTTAAATGGTTGCCCTTTGGCCACCAAGGCACGCCCACCCTCATTGTTTTCTTCTTCCTCGCCCTGAAACGTGCAGAATCACCTGCTTTGTCCCCACCAACTGGGATTCTGGACTGGTTTCACTGGGCCCTCTCACAGGGTCCTAGACTTGGAAGAGATTGCAATGGTCATCCGGTCCAGGCCCCTTCCCACTCTAGCTGCCATTCTTGCCATGCTTTCCCCCTTTAAATGGTTGCCCTTTGGCCCCCAAGGCACGCCACATTGATGCTCAACCTCATTGTTTTCTTCTTCCTAGCCCTGAAATGTGCAGAATCACCTGCCTTGACCCCACCAACTGGGATTCTGGACTGGTTTCACTGGGGCTGGCGCATGTTGTGATGCCCCTCACAGGGTCCTAGAACTGGAAGAGATTGCAATGGTCATTTGGTCCAGGCCCCTTCCCACTCTAGCTGCCATTCTTGCCATGCCTTTCCACTTTAAATGGTTGCCTTTTGGCCCCCAAGGTACGCCATGTTGATGCCCAATCTCATTGTTTTCTTCTTCCTCGCCCTGAAATGTGCAGAATCGCCTGCTTTGATCCCACCAACTGGGATTCTGGATTGGTTTCACTGGGCCCCCTCAAAGGTCCTAGAATTGGAAGAGATTGCAATGGTTATCTGGTCCAGGCCCCTTCCCACTCTAGCTACCATTGCCATGGCTTTCCCCTTTAAATGGTTGGCCTTTGGCCCCCAAGTCACACCATGTTGATGCCCAACCTCATTGTTTTCTTCTTCCTCGCCCTGAAATGTGCAGAATCACCTGCTTTGACCCCACCAACTGGGATTCTGGATTGGCTTCACTGGGCCATCACATGTTGTGATGCCCCTCACAGGGTCCTAGAATTGGAAGAGATTGCAATGGTAATTTGGTCCAGGCCCCTTCCCACTCTAGCTGCCATTCTTGCCATGCCTTTCCCCTTTAAATGGTTGCCCTTTGGCCCCCAAGGCATGCCATGTTGATGCCTAACCTCATTGTTTTCTCCTTCCTAGTCCTAAAACGTGCAGAATCACCTGCTTTGACCCCCCCAACTGGGATTCTGGATTGGCTTCACTGGGCTCCCTCAAAGGGTCCTAGAATTGGAAGAGATTGCAATGGTCATCCGGTCCAGCCCCCTTCTTCTGCCAGGAATGGAGACACAATCAAAGTCCTCCCGATAGATGGACATCCAGCCTCTGCTGAAAAACCTCCACAGGAGACTCACCAAATTCCCAAGGTGCTCCATGTTGATGCCCAGCCTCATTGCCTTCTTCTTCCTAGCCCTCAAATGTGCAGAATTTTTAATGAACTGGGTCTGGCAGACCCCACCTGGCTTTCTCTCATACAGGTGTCCCCTGGGCAGCGTCCTTGCAGACGGCCAATTCTCTCACAACAGGAGCGGTTGCTCCTGACACGACAAAAAAAATTGGATTTACCTATTTTTATGGAGTGCTTTTTACTGCTACTGCTTTTAAAACATCTTCAATAAACTGCTTGCATTTCTACTCAGCTGTGTGGTGTTTAAAGTCAGAGGGCTTTCCTGGCCTGGAGTGCAACTATAGCTTTGCTCTCTACACACTAGACCAGGTATGTGCAAACTTTGGTCCTCCAGGTGTTTTGGACTGGAGGAGTCCAAAACACCTGGAGGGCCGAAGTTTGCACATGCCTGTTCTGGCCCATCGGCTGTGCAACCTGCGAGGAGGGCCTGCCCCATCCAGGCTTCTTGGCACAGCTGCTGCTGCCTGCCTGGCTCTCGTTGGCCTTTCCGGTCTGTTCCCCACACCTGTTTACACTTTGCAGCCCTTCATCCCACCCCACTTCTGTCCCTGATCCCTGGGACCAAAGACCTGAGGAGAAAGAGGGCAAACACCCTGCAGGAACGCTCTTCTGGCACGTCCTTAAACATAAATAAAGAGGAGTACTGCTCCCCCTTCCAAACACACACCTTTGCTCTAAAGTGCTCAGTACAGCAACCTTGGAAGGCTTGGAGATATGGATGTGCTCCAAGATTGTGCTCGGAAACATTGAGAACATAATTTGTCAGACAAGGTCAAAGGAAGCAGGAAGAAATGACAACTGGGATGCAAATATCATCTGGTCAGAGTCCAGAAGGGATGCAATAGGGATGAGGGGCTTGCCAGATGCTCAGCCTCTTGGAACATGAGCCAACAATGTGATGTGGCGGCAGAAAAAGCCAATGGGATTTTAGCCTGCATCAATAGAAGCATAGTGTCTAGATCTAGGGAAGTCATGCTCCCCATGCTCTATTCCGCCTTGGTTAGACCACTTTACCTGGAATATTGTGTCCAATTCTGGGCACCACAATTCAAGAGAGATATTGACAAGCTGGAATGTGTCCAGAGGAGGGCGACTAAAATGATCAAGGGTCTGGAGAACAAGCCCTATGAGGAGCGGCTTAAGGAGCTGGGCGTGTTTAGCCTGAAGAAGAGAAGGCTGAGAGGAGACAGGATAGCCATGTATAAATATGTGAGAGGAAGCCACAGGGAGGAGGAGGGAGCAAGATTGTTTTCTGCTTCCCTGGAGACTAGGACGCAATGGAACAATGGCTTCAAACTACAAGAGAGGAGATTCCATCTGAACCTGAGGAAGAACTTCCTGACTGTGAGAGCCGTTCAGCAGTGGGACTCTCTGCCCCAGAGTGTGGTGGAGGCTCCTTCTTTAGAAGCTTTTAAATAGAGGCTGGATGGCCATCTGTCAACCAATGCTGCAGAATTCGAAGAGGCACAAATGGAGGGTGGAAGGGAAAAATGTGTTAAGAGGAAGACACGTCAAGCCAACCCTGACCGGGACTGCCTTCCATCTGGAAACTGATGCTCTCGCTGCGGGAGAACATGCAGGTCAAGAATAGGGCTCCACAGTCACCTACGGACCCACTGCCAGGACACCGAACTTGGAGGACCATCATCCTCGGACAACAAGGGATCGCCTAAGTAAGTAAGTA